AAACTATATATTGCCCCTTATGGAACAGTTGTACCTGACTGTTTAAGGAATCAGCAGGTTACATTTTTTTATTATCAGTTTTATTTGGATCATCTAAGCCCCTCATCCATCCAGTTTGGTAATCTGTGAAAATTGAAGGAGAATTTGTGTTTACATTGTTCCCATAATAAATGAGTTATAATTTTGAAAATGAATTGATTACAAATTAATACATAGCTGCACTGATCAATGATTGACAGTGTAATTTATTTGTCTGAAATAAAGAAATAAATTTGAGTACGTAAAATTTCAGAATATAAACAATGTTCCACTGATAAAGAAAACCTACAAGTATTTGGTTATAAAAAGTGCTCTCAATCAGCTATTTTTAAAAATGTTTTAGAATGATAGTTGCTAGGGTTTTAATTATTGTTCAGGTCTCAAAAATAAAAAGAGGTTGATGGAAAAAAGGCACACACAAAACACAAAACATGGAAAGACTGGAAAATCAGGGCATGGACTGAGACAGGACCAAACAGGAGACAGGACTACACTAAAACATGGAGACATGGGACTAAGGACTCAAACAGGTAAAAAAACATGCAGATAAACATGTTTTAATAAACTAAGGTACAAAACCCTAAACAAGACAAGATCAAATAATGAAACACAGAAATACAGACCAGGAATAACACTAACATGAATTAAAGCACAGAATTAAGAACAAAGACACTGGACTAAGAACTGAGACAAAGAACCAAAATGCAGGACTAAGACCTAAGATAAGACATAAGACAGATACTAAGTAAACCTAAACATTCGAATTAATAAAATAAACAAGGCAGAAACACAGAACCAAAAACAGACTTAAACTTAAACTGGATCAACAAAACAAAGAGCAAACATGGGCAAAACAGTGGAAAACAAGACATGGAACCAAAACAAGACGAGAATCCTTAACAGTTTGTTAGGCTCATTCAAAACAGGATTTTCACAATAAGAGACACATTCATGAAGTGGTGCTAATTAGCAGAGTTTCAGGAGCGGGACCACACATCAACCACGTCATCGACAGCATTTCCATAAATACCCACACGTCCTAACTCCTCCCCTTCACTCTCGTATCCTACATTCCCTCCCCCCACCCCTTTCTCTGTCCTGCCTCCTGATCTTCTCTCCATAGGATTATAAGGGGGTCCATCGTGCCCGGGTGCTACGACGGATTTCCCTATCGTAGCTTCCCCACAACGCTTTCTAATGTCTCTTCGGCAACTGCAAGCCTCGTACATCTTCATTTTCGATCACCAATAAATCATACAATCATATCTGTTGATTGTGTGGTCCTTGTTAGTGAAACAGTCCTATGAGGGATTTGAACTCACACCCTTCAGCAGGTTCTCTACCAGCTGAGCTTTCAAGAGTCTGTAATAAACAGTGTCTCACACAGAGAATAAAAGCCTATACTTGACTTGACTTTACATGTCATCATTGGCAGTGGAGATTATATGTAAATGTTAGAAGTGATACATGAACTGTCACTCAAAGATGGAGTTTACACCAACAGGTACGTTGTACGAGCTTATAGCACTCAAAACTGAGCTGAAGTAGACATACATAACTTTCAGTAACAGATTTAAACATTTAACTTTTGGCAGAATTACACAATATCCTGCAAGTTGTTTTGAAGCTGGTTACTGAGCTGTAAACTGTTGGTGTGTTTTACTGTTTGAGTCTACAGTTACTTACGGCAGAGACTGGATGCAGAGAATGTTAAAATCCATCTAAATATTCATGTAGTGTTCAATAAGGATAGTGTGTGTGTGTGTGTGTGTGTGTATATATACATTTAATTAAAGGTTGAACTCCAGTTTTTAAACAAATTAACATTGTAGAGTTTGCTTGTTTTTGGGAACACTGTTATCACATTTTATTCTTAGTTGTAAATTCACATGTTACAAACTTTTCAGTTTTCAGAAGACCAGCATGTCTGTTGGTTTTCTTCTTGCTCCTCCCAGCACCTTGTTTTGAAGGTAACTTACTGTACTCACAAACATTAGTAACATCTTAATGAATATGTAATGCAATTATGTCTACCATGAACTGTATTGTTACGTCATAGTTATGTGAAGAATGAATTCACCATTTATGTGACATCTGCTTAAATACATTCTAACTTTGATTTCACATGCAAATTTTAACAGTTTACCTGCTCACATTCTTTAGTTTTACCAGCACAATATATTATCTAACCACCTTTAATTGAGCTCCAGTTTAAAATCCAAGGCCACTGAGGCTTAACTCAATCAAAGATCCTCAGAAACAGCTTTTCAGTTGATTCACAGATAATGCAAAAAAACACCACACACTTCTTTCTGCAGGAATTAAAAAAACAAAAAAACAGATGTGTTTCCTCCTCAGGTCAGCATCAGTTGGTCGGTCCCCATCAGCCAGTAGCAGCAACACTAGGTGATGACATCATTTTACCAACCTGGCAACCTGCCATGAACGCTTCAGACATGACTGTGGAGTGAGCGAGGCCTGACCTGGACCCCGGTACAGATGCTTCATTCCAGGACTGGGAGACTCTTTTTTTGACCTTGTTGTTGGTAAGAGGATGTGGAGAACTATTACGTGTTACATTTAACAATTATTAAAGTTAAATCAAGTTGAACTGAGCCTACACAGTGAGGGTGTGTGAAAAAAGTGCTGTTACAGATTAGATAACAGGAAAATTATTTCTGACCTGCATATTTGCATATGTTCCTCAATAACGGCTGTCGGTAGCAGCTGCGTTTTATAAGGTCAGTAAGCAGATGTGTAAATGTGCATCAATGTCTTGTCACACATTAGATGTGTTTCTCAATGCTTTCTCTTCTCTTCAATCTTCAGGTGCTGTTTCCTCGCCGTTCATAGTGAGTATTGAAAGAGCCAGCAGCAGCGTGGTGTTACAGTGTGAGTCTGCAGGCTGGTATCCAGAGCCTGAGGTGTTTTGGCTGGACGGTGAGGGAAACCGCCTCTCTGCTGGACCTACAGAGACAGTCAGAGGTCCTGATGACCTCTATACTGTCAGCAGCAGAGTGACTGTGGAGAAGAGACAAAACAACAGCTTCACCTGTAGAGTCCAACAGAAGGACATCAACCAGACCAGAGAGACACATATTAACATTTCAGGTAAAACCTCTCACAGCTACTCCAAACTGGACTGCAATCAACATTTGGCTTTGGCTACAACTGTTACATCCTTATCAACAGTGGGGCTGAAATTGCGAAGCTTGTCCTGAGGGTGGTGCCAGAGTGTCGAAGCCCTGAGCACTGAGACTTTAAGCAGCAGGAGGGTGTTAAAGCTCCACCCCCCTGAGAACTGAGACAGCAGACCAGAGACATTTCTGTGGGCAGTAAAGTGTGAGGCTGAAGACTGTGTGTAGTTTAATGAATTTCCTTCCATATTGTTTGTTTAAATTCTGTCATGATGTTTAACTCCACTGCCATTTGCCGACTTATTTTACACAGTTATGCATCGTGGGTCACTCACTTAAGACTGTGAACCTACAGAAAGTTGTCATAAAGGCCTCAAAAGTCAACCAGAACGATTTGACAGAAGTACAGGCCTGAACCCTCTGAAACAGGCAGCAAGCTTCAACATCTGAGTGCCTAATGGGGAGGTGGGCAACTGGAGCTGGGCCTTTGTCTGACTGAGACCACTTAGATCATGAGCATCAGACTTCCTTTGGCTGAACCGGCTCGATTCCCAGCTCCTCCATTTTGAAGTGTCCTATACTGAATCCCACTTTGCCCCTGAAGGCTGTGCAATCATGTGAACAATTAGTTCCTTTCTCATGCACAGATTGCAGCCACTGCCTTCAGTGTGCAAATGTGCTTCAGTGGTTAGAAGACTATAACGGGCGCTATTTCAGTACAGTCCATTTACCATCTGGTTGAGAATATTGGACGGACAGCAAATCATTGTTGTATCACATGACGTAAATGAAGCTTTGTTCCGTTTTGTCATTTCAGCTGATTTCTTCACGGCCCCGCCAAGTTCAGCTGGTTGTATCAACAGTGTTGCTGTTGCTTTGGTTATTTTCTTTATGTGTAGTTTTGCAGTTGCCTTTGCTTGGTGGAAATGGAAGCGGAAAAAATCAGTAAGTCATGAAATTATTTATTTATTTTTATGTACTTTCCATAAACCACTTTCCATGCAGCAACGTTTAATTTTAATTTCTTTCCTGTGTGCACACAGAGAAACTCAAGTCTCTGATGGGCCGAGAAAGAGACAAAGAGCAACACCATGAGGGAAAGGAGGCAATGGAAGATGATTACTAATAGCTTGTTACTATAACAATTTAGAGGTCATAGCAAACAAGTAATAGATTGAGGTAGATGGCCTTCTGCCTGTGACTCATCATTACTTTAAAAAATAATAAATTCTGCTGTAGAGATATAGAGATGCTGCGGTTATTCTGTACAGGCTTTGCCATTGTTAAACATAGACGCATGGTCTGATGGTATCACTCAAGATCAAATCAACCCCTTACAGACTGTGTGGTTTAAAAGCACACAGGATGCCTTTATTGACTTAATATATGCACAATGCATGACAGTGCTGTTTATGGGGGGGGCAGGGGCAGCTGTGGCTCAAAAGGTAGAGCGGGTTGCCCATTAATTGTAAGATTGGCGGTTCAAATCCAGTCTGCATGTCTTAGTGTCATTGGGCAAGAAACTGTTTTTTGTTTAAAGTATTGCCACATTAGTTTATCATATGAATGGAAATACTTTGTAATACATGTATATATTTCACATCACATACAAAAATAGACATCAGGACAAAGTATATAAACATTACAAAATTAAAATCAGCAACGTAATACACGTAAAGATGAATACAATCATGGGAGATTTAATAGGTCTAGGTTGTTATATTAATGCTTTATTGTCTCTGTTTTAATTCACCACCTCTGAAAACTTATCTTTACTACATCCACATGCGCAACACTGGTGGCACAGATGGAAAAAAGAAAATATTGTATTTATTATATTTTATTTAAGATATGTAATAATGTCTGTCAATCAAATCACAGAAATCTTGTTCTAATTGATCCCCTATTGTATTATTTTTTAGTTTATTACAATTATTACACATTTACTCTCTTAATATGGAGCTACTTTGAACAATAACAAAAGAAATCTACCAGAGATAACTCTGAACATATGAATATTTTTCTGCTGTAATATCATTTGTCCGTCTCTTAGCTTTAATCCAGCTCAACATCAACACCGTTCATAGAAATGCATGAAGGGCCTGAACTGGACACCTTCAAGTCACCTCATATAACAAACAGGAGAAGGGGAAATCCTTGCCCACAATGAATACGACTTAATCATCATGTGAGTATTTAGGAAATGAATGGCTATTAGCAGTTCCCACAGAAAAAAGTAAACTACTTTACATCCTTTTGCCTTCCACAGAGAACGTTAAGTCAAATGTAATAGACAACAAGTCAATGAGAGAATGATGGTGGGCTGGAACTAATGTTCTCCGGGGGAGTATGTTGAAAAGTTTTAATTGAATTTAATGAAACTGAGCTTCAACAAGCCATCATTATGGCTAGTTCAAGCTACTGAGGTATTTGATTTTTCTCTTTAAAACTGCATAAACATTTTGTTGTTTCTGCAAAGCTCCTTGAAGGCCCTTTGAATTGTCTGTTATTTTCTTCTGGTTTGTGTCTGAGATGCTCAAATTATCAACTGTATCTGTTATAAAATAAAACCCAGAATGAGACGTATTGACACAACTTGAAGCAGGCCGTCTGAAAATAGATCTTGTGTCTCTCTACCAACTCTGTGGTTTTCAACCTTTTCTGCCTACCTGCCAGTCAGTGACAACACTCAGCATACACACAACTGTGAGGAACAGATAACTTGAACAAGAAATGGACTTTTTTTCCCGATGAAAGACATTAGTCATTTTGTGCATGTTAAAATCAACAAACAAAATGTAAGTAAAAGTAATAGACCAGTTTACTTTGTGTCCTTTTCTTGTGTTTCCTTATCTCAGCGGGTCATGGGTTAATTTTGAGTTTCCCACAGTGAAGCAGTCCCACCAGCAGCAGCAGCAGAGGCACCATCAAAATGGTGAAAACTGTTCTTAAGAGGAGGACGAGAAAAACGAAGCGATCTGAGCAGGGATACACCGCTCTGTGAAGTGCTGCAAAGACAACAGAAACATGGTTCCAACATTAGTCATTCCCTACGAGCTAACTGTTCCTTTGTAATAGAAAGCTGCACAATTGATGATAAAACCATTTTTAACTCTTGTTATACAGTGAAACTGTCGCAACAAGCAAATTTAACACATAGTTTTGGAATATGTGGTTAATAAAATAAATCAAATGTCTGTAGTATGGTGATCTCCTGTGTGAAAGTCTACTGTCTGACCCATCCAACCACCTGCTTACTTGGACCTTTCTGTTATTTATACTAGGCCTACTTTTAGCATTCAACAATGATGCTAAAGGGTGCAGTGCTTTAAAAACTGAGGGGCCTTGACCATGCGTCCAAATGTTAGGACTTGGGACTAAGAACAGGTTGGAATCACATAGAGGGCTTTTATTTTCAAACACATTTGGGTCTCACCTCTGACAGCCAGCCAGCTCTCTTGTGATTCTCCAGCTCCAGAGATGTTACACTTGTAAAGTCCCTCATGAGACTTGTAGACATAGGGGATGGTCATGTTTCCTGTAGAGCTGCTCCCAATGAAGAGACCGTCTTTGTAGAAGACAGCTGGGAGGTTGATGGACGTCGTCGTGTTTCTGCAGTTCAGAGTTACAGCATCTCCCTCCATCACAGGAAGGACGGGACTCTCCAGGATCACAGAACTAGCTGAACAACATGAAGATTAATTTTATGTAAAACCTGAATTGACAGTTTTGCAAAAAACAAAATTTGCATAAATGAGCAAAACTAAAGACACCAACATGCTTTAATGAGATGAGGAAGAAGAGTATATAAAGAACATATCCTGTGTGCAGTTTGTGAGCAGTCATACATACAGATAAGTGAAAATTAAGTGCAACTTCAGGGTTCCTTGGCATGGATGCTCTAAGTGTCTGCAGTCTACTGAAAGGATGGACACAAGTTATTACACCTGTTGGTGATAGTGTTGGAGAGCGCTGTCTAATATGTTGCTCTAAAAAGGTTGAGAACTGGACCTGTGCAGTACTTTTATATATGTCACAGAGAATGGTTACTTGATGTTAATTAGGTGTCCAAGCCCAAGGGGGCTGGTGGCCACACATGTAAAGCCAGTGCTGGTGGAGCTGAGGTCGGCCAAACAAAGCCTGGTTGCTGCAGCTAGCCACATGCGATGGCACCCCCCTTCACTCAAAGTCGATGCATTCTTAATTATGCATAGTAGTTTTGTAAAAAAATAAAATAAAATCACTCCTGCGCAGCTGTCAAGAAGGGGGATATTAGCTATGGTATAAAACATGTTTATTTCTGCTGTAAGGTTGGGGGATTTAAGATGGGGATCTATGGAGATTGACTACTTTTTGGAGCCAGTGTAAAGTGGCCTTTCCAAGAACTGCAGTTTTTGGCACACATTGGTATTGGCATACATTGGCCCCTATGGTGGTGTAAATGGTGGGGCTTGACATTAGGGGTTCATGGTATAATCTGTAGAAAATGTCCAAAGAACAAAATAAAAGTACCTTGTTCACTTTTTATTGTCACAGCCAGCCAACTCTCTGGTGACTCTCCAGCTCCAGAGATGTTGCACTTGTAGAGACCTTCATCAGTCTTGGAAACATTGTGGATTGTCATATTCCCAGAATAGCCAGTCAGGATTTGGAGACCATTTTTATAGAAATCAGCTTTAAATTTCAAAGGAGTCTTCTTGTTGACACATTGCAGAGATACATTGCCTCCCTCCATCACAGGAAAGACAGGACTCTTCAGGATCACAGAACCAGCTGAAATACATTTTTAAATTACAGCATGTTTGCCTTGTTTGCACATACTACATTCTACAAGCTTCTGTACTGGGGCTCTTTCAATTGTTGTGGATGTAGATCACATGATGAACAAGTCTGGGACATGCTTGTTGTCTAATCCCCGGCCAAAAAAAACAAAATTACGTAAGCTGATATTCCAATTTATGGGTAGCCGACTTCAATGACTTAATGACTTACAAACCACGGCAACAACAAGTGTTTCCCCGCCATGTTCCCCGGAAAACAGTTTATGTTGTCACCCCAGGGTTTTGTAGTTGTATACAGCACATTTCTGTTTATGGTTGTGTTTCTCACTTTGCAGTATTTCAGCTGAAGATGCGTTTCTAATTTGCTTCTGTTTTCTTAAGCAGGAGTGTGTTGACCCCTTCAGGGCCACCGTATATGACCGATAATATATAAAATTGTTGGCCTCATCCCGACATGCTGGGCACCAAATGTGTTGGAGATTGAACACAATTTGTAAATCCAAGCCAAAAGAGCTTAATAAATGGGTTTGGAGGCGTTTATACTGTTGTATTACACTGCATTACATTATAAAGTATTATCTCATACTCCCTCTGCATCTATATAGTGGTTATATATATAGTCACAGTAAACCTACCAGTGACAGTGATGTTGACTGTGTTGCTTCCCTCTCCTCCTCCAACATCGCACCAGTATTCTCCGCTGTCTGACACAAAGGCATTGTTAATGACGCAGATCAGTGTTGAGGTCACTGTGCTGTTAGAACATGTTGGAATGAATTCGTCAATGTTCCTCACTCCTCTCCATTTAGCCGAACCATCAAACCCCTCGCAGAAAAAAGAGATGGTCTCATATTCAAAGAACTGCAGTCTGGTTGGGACAATACGAAGAAAAGCTGCATCTGAAACAGACAGACAACAATGACTAATTAACTATTATCATTTAAATATACACAATTAAAGGTGAGATAGATACAAATGACAGTAAGTCAAAAGTGTCAGGTATTTTCTGCTGTCTCTTTAAATAGCATAAGGGTTTTTAAACGTAAGGATTCATCAAACGAGCACATATGTCTAATTAAGAGATTACTTTTCAGGTTGACCGTAAATTCATCATTTAAGTCTTTTTCTCAGCTTTTTTTATTGGTATATATTTCCCTAATATTTTCTAGTGCATTTCATTGAAAGAACTACATATTAGGGAGAATAGTAGTTTTCTTGAAATAACTGTTCCTAAATAATAATCATTATTAATGGATTTTATATTAAATTGTATGCTTGCTTCCCATTAAACCTCTGAGGCAAGTATTAGGAGAAGAATGACCCCACACAAGAAGTGTTAAAAGAAGGGAACCTGCTGTCAAATTAATCTTGATTCAAGGGTGGATTTTTAGCTTATTACCATAACAGTTGTTACTGCTTTATGGAGATGCGCAACCCTTATTCTTGTGTTTAGCATTCACAGATGAAGATTTGGCATATTAAGGTAACTCTGACTTTGGTCAAAGTTGAACAGTGAGAAGTAATCCATTAAGCAAAAAAAGTTGTCCAAAATGCAAATATTTTGTGTCTGTAGGTAAATCATTTCCTACTTACTGCCTTTATGAGTGTAACTTTGGTGAACCAGTGCAGCCAGCAACAACAACACCTTCAACACTGAAGGTACAAAGAAAGGAAGTTGTTCATCAGATATACATGCTTTGATATATATGTATATATATATTTATATTCTATAAAACTGTACACATAATCACATAGTGATGATGTCAAAGAAATTCAGATGTTCTTGGATCCTAATATTTTGAAAAAATGCCACTACGTCTTCTTAACATTGATTTGACAAATAAATGAGTATTTTAAGTATCTCTGATATATATGAACAATAAAAACGACAGAAGGGGTACTCACAGAGTCTGGTGCAGAGAGCTTTAACCTCCATCATGTCCTGCTGCTGACTGTCTGAGCATCACAGGGCTACAGATAATTATACTGTAGGTCACAACCTCTTCCTGTGTCTTTGGTGTGTGTTGTACAAACTTGTCTCAGAGGCAGAGCTGATCTGGAGTCAAAAATAACCTCTCTAATGGTTGAGCTCAAACTCCGGCCAAAGAATAACCGTTTCTCAAAGGTGAAGTTAACTCACAGGTAAACTGGCATAGAAGGATCTGTCAAGCAAATTTACCGGAGCTGTGTGGTCTTTGAATTAATACCCACATGAACACAGAGAGAACATGCAGCATTCACACAAACAACTGCAGCTCCAGCCGGCACTCATCAGCTCAGACCACGATGATTGGGTCCGAGGTATGGTCCTATGGGGTGTTGAGGAAAGAGCTGTGTGGACTTGTGTCTGTCTCCAATTTAAGCCTCCCAGTGGCTCCCAGTGCTGGTGGAGAGATGGCACTCAGCAGTGCAGCTGCTCAACAACATCAGGTCAATCTCACGTTGAGCCAATGCACTCTCCCTACAGGAATCTGGCACGATGCCGGCTCCAGCGCCTGTTGATGTTAGCCACAGAAGGGTAGTGGCAGAGTCGGAGATTGCGGCCTTCGAGAGCCGGGAGGAGTGTGCCAGAGCATAGGATCCTTGCATATGTGAGATGTAATCCAAATACAGATTGTTAAAAGTAGTGGTCGTAACAGAGATATGATCCCTGAATGCCTTCTGGCTCTAAGCTGCTTAGAGGCTGAAACATTAAAACCTCATCTGGAGCTGCTTCGTCTTCCTGCCTGATGACTCTCCGGCCCACCCATCAGAAGCTTCAGTGGTTAAGCTGTCAGCAGAGCAGGAGAAAACAACCTCTAAACACCCGAAAGAAAATCATTCAACATCTGCAGATGTTGCTCCAAAGCCACACCAGCCCAGCTCTGGAAAACATTGCAACCATCCCCTTTCACCGGTTAAGTCCGCACAGGCTGTTGAATGAGGCCATGTTCAGAAGGAGCACTGGGCAAACTGACCCCTCATCAGGGATACTTCAACCTACCTTGGTTAGTGGACAACCACTCTACCCCCTGAGCCACAGACACCCAAAATGAAATGTGAATAATAACAATATGCTAAATATTAAATATGTGTATATGGTGTGATATGAGACTGATTTACATTATTTTAAAAAATGCCTTAAAATGGGAACATATCTGGATATACCAAACTCAAAAGGGGATAATGTATTATTTTTTTTGTATTTATTTTTTAACTACTGGCCTAAAAACAATCTGGTTTCTAATAAAATGTCCTTATAGTGGTGAATAATGAACATCTGTTCATAAAATTGTTAATCTGTTCTTTGGCATTCCTGTTTGCCAGATCATATACTATAAAAATCTGATTCTCGGATGCCAACTGCTTTGTTTATGCTCAGAAACCCCAAACCTTCTGCTTCCTTAATCACCAGCAGAGAAACAGGAAGAGGAAGAGCAGGTTCTGACTTACACAATGTTTTAAATTCAGTCTGATGTTCAAACAGTCAGCAGCAAGACAACATGGAGGTGACAGCTTTCTGCATCCGACTGTGTGAGTATCGAATTTGTTGAATATTAAGCATATATTATATTATATTGAGTAAATCACTGTGAAATAACACAAGTGGAAGGTAAAGTGATATGAACTGTTCATAAAAAACTTTGCATGCAAATGTACTTTGCATGCATTCACTCTGGAAGCTGGTTGATCTAAAGCTGTGATCAGCTCACTGATAAACTCATAGATCTTTTCAATGATGGACAAAATATTACAGCCATTCACATGTTACATTTATGTCATGTTATTATGTTACATCTGATGCAGTAAACAGCTCTCTTGTCTCTGCAGTGTTGACTGTGTTGTTGCTGCTGGTTGCACAAGTTGACTTCACTTGTGCTCAAAAAGCTGGTAAGTGGTAGTTGGATAATTGGTCAGACTTTACTAGTTGATGTATATTTTGACTCTCAAATATGCTTCATATATATCACATAATCTCCAACTTGTTATGTACTGTATTCATAAGAACCGTAGAAATACAGTCATGGGCTACAAAAGCTTAACAAATTACACCGTAAATTAAACTTGTATTCTTTAGATAACTTGTATCTCGTGATAATACTACTGGTATATGAAAATAACATCAGTAATAAGCGAAAGGGTAATTAATTTTTTCATGTCACTTGAAAATGAGCCACAGTCTGCATTTAATTATGTATTTGTGTGTTTTTATGTCATTGCATTTATGTTGTCAAAGCAAAAATAAAAGTTTTTTAAACTTTTGCCTAAATAATTTAGCTCTATGATATACATCTCCATTGATTATTGCATGATAAATTATATTGGATTTAAAATGATTTTGTTCATTTAAATATTTAACACATTTTATTCTTTGTGTCTCTGTCTCAGATGTAGTTTTTCCTCAGGTTGTTCCAAACAGAGAGCAGCACTTTGAGTATGAGTCCATTGTTATCAGCTGTGAGGGGCTGGAGGGATTGACTGGATGGAGAGTGATGAGGAAGACCAAAGGATCTGTTATAACATGTGCTTCTAGCTGGTCGACATTATCAGGACCCTGTCAAATTAAAAATGCCTTTCCAGGACCTGACAATGGAGAATACTGGTGTGAAACTGGAAGGAAGAAAAGCAACACTGTCAACATCACTGTCACTGGTATCCAAGTTGTAAAACACTAACTAAAAAATAATCCTCTGAAGTTAGTCTAATTTCTTGTGAAAAGTCTGTGAACATTTCAGTTCAAAGATCAATATATTTATTTGTCCAGTATATTAAAAATAGTCCTATGCAATATCATTAAGTATCACTGACATCAGGTTTGGAAGTAAATAGTACCGTAAATACTGTTGTAAAAAAGTTGTGTTGGCAGAGCTGAGCATGACCTGAGGTGCTCAATAAGACTTTACTTGTTAAATTGTTGGTGGGCTTTGTTCCCCATATAGCAGAGCTTTTCAAACTATGAGCCGTGCCTCTCCAGGGGGAGTTCAGCATGAACCAAATCGAATTAAGACAAAGAATAACCAAATTTCATCAATAACAATTCTGTTCATGTTTTCCTCTATCAATATTTTTTTGAAGTATAAGTTGTAGAATAAACGGGGGTGCTGCGTTTACCTAATTAATTTTTGTTGAAGAAATCTTTATTTGCAAATGGTGCTGAAAAGGACGGATAAAAATAAATACAATGATTTGCATACACATGAAGCTAACCTACTTTCTATTGCTGAAAGAAAGATTTACATGTTTATATTTACAACATAAAACAATTCTTTCTTTCTTCTTTTTAATGCAATTAATTTTTGTGAAATATGTTTTTCAGCTGGTTCAGTGATCCTGGAGAGTCCAGTCCTTCCTGTGACGGAGGGAGACAATGTGACTTTGTGCTGCAGAACGAAGCAGACGTCCTCCAACCTCAACGCTGAATTCTGTAAAGACGGCCACTTCATGGAGAGCAGCTCTACAGGAAACATGACCATCCACAGTGTTTCCAGGTCTAATGAAGGACTCTACAAGTGCAGCATCTCTGGAGCAGGAGAATCAGCAGAGAGCTGGCTGACGGTCAGAGGTGAGACACAGCAGTGTTTCAACAGTATTTGCTCTATTCTTTTCCAGTTTTTTTCTGATAATGCCCTTATCTTTGTGAAGTTCCAGGTTTTAAAACTCAAAAGAAGTATTACAAATGCCAACAGATTACACATGTAACTAACTGTGCCCTGTTCAGCAGTTACAAAAATGTGGAAGCTTAAACTGATGTTTGAGGCTCTGAGCACAGAGGGAGTTGTATTTTGTACGGATTGCTGGTTTGTGATGTTGGGCTATATGAAAACAAAATGACTTGACTTAAAGCAGCACTGCCATTATCTCTCCAGCAACTCATCAGCCTCCCCCTGCTGCCTCTCAGCCTCCCCCTGCTGCCTCTCAGCTCTCTCTGCTGATCTGTGTTGGTGTCAGTGTTTTCCTGATGGCTCTGCTGCCTTTGGTGGGATACTGCTTTGTAGAAGTCATCAAACAGTCATCACAGGTACAGAGAATAAACATGAAACAACTTACATTACTGGCACAACGCTTGCTAGAAGTGGGCTCTTAATGGTAGAATGTGACGACTGTGACAAAACACAATCAAGTTCGGCTTAAGGTAGAAAAAGAAATGCCAATGAGCTCCAGTTCTGGTGGTTCCTGCTGATCGTTACTATATGAAACCTTTCTCTCTGAGTGAGCCCCTTCTCTGCATTGTTTAAATTTTACACAGTCGGAGCGTTTTAGTGTGTCTCATCTGCCACAAAACTCTGTATTTGACTCCTCTTCATTTGTTATTGCAGCAGAGTGCAAGATTTAATTTCCAAAATTATTATAAAAAGCCCACTTGCCCAGTCAGATTGTTAATACTATGAGGACAGATAGAGCAAGCTTTTCCTTTAAGACCAAAATATTTTTTAAACAGTTTCTCAAACAAATCCACAATGATTACATCAACTGTGAATACATGTCCATTGTAGCAATAGGTATCCAGTTGGAGTCCAGTATGTGCCATGGTGCTTCTGCTTTTAATTAGTTTCAGTTTTGTGCATGGATACGGGAAGTGTGGGTAGAGAAAAAACAGGAATTATAAAAAAAAACATAAAATGAGAGTTTGTCCGATCTTTAAGTTAAGTGAAGTTTATGACATTTACCAATATGCTTCGATGGTGATGATGAACGGCACGCATACCAGTAATGAATTAGTGATGAATCACCCTCATGCAGGAATCAAGGCTGTTTTCACATACAGGATGTGGGTGTTCCAGCTAGCTGTCTGCTGAGGTGTAAAACATTCTCATGCTGGTGTTTATAACTTTTAGATGCAAGTTATCCTGGCCATTCAAATAAATACAAAAAAAGTACATTGCAGGGCCACACATAGATGAACAACCACGCTCACACTCACACCTAAGGACAATTTAGGGTAACCAATTAACCTAGCCTGCATGTCTTTGGATGGTGAGAGGAAGCCGGAGCACCCGGAGAGAACCCACGACCTTCTTGCTGTGAGGCGACAGTGCTAATCACCGTGCTGCCCGGATTTCAAAGCATACATTAGGAAAATCTATTGCATTTGTTCATCTTTTTTTCAGCTGTGGCCCACAAAACTACAACTTTTGTAAAGCAGAAACATACATCATTCCGAAACCATGTTTATAAATAGTTTCCAAATAATATAAAAAACACTGACATGTTAAGAGATTCTGAGGTCCTGAGAAACAGAAACAAGTGTATTAAAATAATACACATATTTTTATAGTAATATTTATATGAATAGACTTATAGAATTTATTTAAATAATTGAATTTACTTTGAAAGCAACTTAATTTATGTAGTGCCAGTTTGTATTTTTGTAAATATTTTTTGTCTTTCTGTGTATCTACCTGATACTTGTGTGTAAGATGTATTTTTATTATGTTTCAGTGGCAACATATGCTGTTATCACAGAACCCAGGAAGGAGAAAGGGAATGAACTTGACCTTCTTTCAGGTGAGTGAGTGTGAACAAACATTTACAGAATATTTCTGAAAGTATACCCATGTTTAAATTGTATCAGACTGTGTCTGTTTCCGGAGCTTTAGGCCTTTCTTCATTAGCATCTCAGACAAAAACCACAAGAAACAAGACAGAGAAGCCCACAGACAGAAAAAGATAGATGGAGCCCTGAGCTCACTGTGTAGCAGCTTAGTCCACCATGATACCACAAGACAGTTCTCATGTTAAATTTATTATTAGCAGGACATCAAGTACTTTAAGCAACCTTGCATTCTCATATGTTGTGTGGGAAAGTGATCAGGTGGTCTGTGTTTTATTAATTCACATTGAGGTCAGGCTGCTAATCAGAGGACTCAAGTACTGTTATAAATGTTGTCCTTTATTTTCTCACAGATACATTCAATGTCTATTTTTGGGTGTCTTGCAGGTCACTGAGAGCAGAGACGCCTCACTGAAGAAGGGAGGACATATTAGGGTCTTTTTTAAAAACCCAAAGGTTTTTAAATTGCAGCATTTGTATGGGTGGTTTTGTGTGTTCATGTCAAAACACAATGACATGCTTCTGTGGTTGCAAGAAATATATAAACAGGTTATGTACATTTGTAAAAAGGGGACGTGTTCAATTTCTTTTTTTTTAAACTGCACACATCGGAGACTGTAGATGTGTATGTATAGGCCTATACAAAAATGTACACGGAGACCAATTAATAATCATTTTTTTAAAGTAAATAAACATTACACAATTAAAACAATCACCATAAACCATGTAAAATGCCTAATTGTTACTTTTTATCACTTTTCTGAATGACAGTTTCATCTATCACAGCTACTGATTGATATTTTATTCCCACTAGTTCACACAGTTATTCTCTAAAATAGGGTACAAAGAAAACAATTATCTGTGAATGTATTAATATTTTTCTACAGTACAACCATTCACCCACCTCCAGCTTTAATCCATCATCCACAGAAACCTTCAATTCACCTGATATTAAAAACAGCAGATGGGGACATCCTTAGCAGATCCCACAATGCATATGGTTGATTATGCATCATTATTTGGGAAATGCATCAAGTGGGTGTGGGGGAGTGGCAACAGAGGATGAACCCAAATGCAAGCAGAGTGAGCAGGATGACTCAAGTGGTTTAAAGACCAAAACAGCCAGGTCACAGAAGACAGGAACATAGCAGCCAGTTCACGGTGGGGAAGGCTAAGTGAGGCGAATGAGGTGATTGCAAGGCAGATGGGAGTGGAAGGATCTGTAATTACTGAAGAGAAGTCTGTAGGCACCTGGTAGAGAGAGAGAGAGCAAAAGAATAATGCTGAAAGGGCCTGGGGGAGTGGATGAAGAGAGGGACAGAGAGGCGGTGGTTATCAGCACTTAACACAGAAAAAAAAGGAATCTAATTTACAACATTTTGCCTTCCATAGTCAAGTTAAGTCAAACATAATCAAACAGGAGATATGTTGAATATCTAATACACAACTAAGCAAGGAGAACAAGGCATTGTACAGAAAGAAATGTCGTAATACTTCTCCAGGAGAGAATGTTAAAAAGGTGAAATGGTCAAATAAGACTCATCTGTAATGAACATGTCGTTTTGGCTTATTTAAGGTAAGATAACATTCAGAGCCCAACACGGTTGTCATCCTCCTTGTTTCTCTATAAAACTCTGTAAGTATTTGGTTCTGTCCACAAAGCCATTGAGAGGCTGTTAAACTTTTGTGTCTGAGAAGCTCAAACGATCAGCTGCATCTGTAGAATCTAAGTAAAACCGAGACATGACGCACACTGACGAAGCAGGCCTTCTGAAAATAGACCTTGTGTCTGTCCATCAGCTCTATGATACTTTGTGTCCCTCACTGTTTCCTTAATTTCAGTAGGCCATTAGTTGTTTTTGTGTAACTCTGAGTTTCCCACAGTGAAGCAGTCCCACCACCAGCAGCAGCAGAGGCACCATCACAATGGTGAAAACAGTCCTCAGGAGGAGGAGAAGAAGAAAGAACTGGTGTGGACAGGGACAAGTCTCTCCGTGAAGAGCTGCAAAGTCAACAGAAATGATATAACATGGTTCCAACAGTATCCAAGCTGTTAATTTTTAATAGTAAATTGAACTTGTACTTACCAAAAACAAAACAATCAATGACACTGACCACGTGAACACCATGTTTAAGTCTTGTGCTGCAGTGAAACTATCACTAGATGTAAATTTAAGAGGTAGTTTTGGAACTGGTGGTTGATAGAAGAAATGTAAATGTTTTTGCTGTGTTATATAACTATATAACACAGCAAAAACAATAATCATAATAATAAAGGTTAATAAACTCAACACTGTCAATGATTCAACAATTATCATTAAAGTTACCTGGCTAGAACTGCAACTTAATTACATTCAGGTGAAAAGACTTCTTATTTTAAATGGACTTTAAGCCAAACATCACACACAGGGCTTTCATTTTGGAACAGGTTTGGGTCTCACCTCTGACAGTCAGCCAGCTCTCTGCTGATTCTCCAGCTCCAGAGATGGTGCACTTGTAGAGTCCTTCATCAGACCTGGTAACACTGTGGATGGTCATCTCTCCTGTGGAACTGGTCCTGATGTGGAGCCATCTTTATAGAAGTCTGCAGTGATATTTGTGGATGTCTTTTTGTTTCTGCAACTCAGAGTCACAGCTTCTCCCTCCATCACTGGAAGGACGGGACTCTCCAGGATCACAGAACCAGCTGATCCAAACGATCCAGAAGTGCAAAAAACAGTATACTTATATTAATAAATATAGAATGTATTCAAAGAGCTGCAGTCTGTTTGGAACGATACGAAAAGCCGCTTCTGAGACAGAGAAACAGAGATTAACATATATGAACAAGGTGCATAATAAAGAAAAACTCCAGGATAATCTGATGTTAAAATAATACCTTGCTTACACAGTTAAAAGTAACACAGTAATCCATTAGTGTCTACACTAACAGAATACCTCAAACATTTGTTTGGGTCTCACCTCTGACAGTCAGCCAGCTTCCTGCTGACTCTCCAGCTCCAGAGATGCTGCACTTGTAGAGTCCTTCGTGAGATTTGTAGACATAGTCGATGGTCATGTTTCCTGTAGAGCTGCTCCCAATGAAGAGGCCGTCTTTGTAGAAGACAGCTGGGAGGTAGGTGAACGACACCTTGTTTCTGCAGTGCAGAATCACAG